ACTCCCTGCCCGGACGCGGGGGCGGCTTTGGGATTCCCGGGGCCCAGCCCCCAGTCTCGGCGCCCCGAATCCCTGGGCTTCTCGGGATTGATCGACGGCCAGGTCGCCGGGTGCTCTGCGAAACTTTGGGCAGCGACTGCAGAAGCAAGTTGCTGATGAAGAGAGCAGTGGCGGCGGCATGTGGACACATCTCTCCGGGATGGAGAGCCGGGCGCTCCTGCTGTCACGCTGCAAAGGGAATTGAGCAGAAGGAATTTTGAGTTGTGGCCCCTCGGGTACGGGCTGGGGAGCGGGTGGCCTTTGTTCCGGCGCCTTAACAGCGGAGTGGAAGAGCTGGTAGGAGCCCAGGGATCCTCTCTTAAAATACTCATTTTGCGACCACGGGAACCACGATTTAGAGAGGGTCAGCGGCTTGCTCAAGGTCACCCGGCTGGTTAGAGCCTAGTTCTTGCAGTTCCTGGGCCAGTATTGGTTTTTCCATACCCCTCCTTTCAGGAAAGTCCAGTTGACTAGGCTAGTAATCTTACTAACTCGATAATTGCACTCTTATGTTCTAGGCCCCAAAATACTTTGTATTATTTCACTTCTTCCTCACAACAATCCTGTGAGATATTCTTATTACCCCTATTTTAATACGGTAATTAAAGAAGCTGAGGCCAGGAGATGTTGACTTATCTAAGGCCACTCACCTTAGAGAGCTTAGGCAGAAACACAGGTGCATTGTACTTTTCACTTTTCAGCATGCTTTCATGTCCAGGATCTCACTACAGCCTTGCAGGCATGTATGATGGCTACATCCCCATTGTGCAGATGAAGAAACAGAAGCAGCAGAAGATTCTCTTTTGGGGGAAGAGATAAATGCAGCAGCTAATTGAAAAGGATCTGTTTGCCATTTTCCCATTTTGCTTTTGTAATATTTCTCCCCTTGGTTTGTCCTTGCTTTCCCTTTTGGTCATGTGGGCAGTGTGGTAAGACCCTTAATTGAAGCCCCAGTTCTAACCACAAACTCTTTACTAAGTGCTCCTAAATACAGAAATGGGTTAACAAATGGGGGGTGGAGTAGGTGGGGGTTGGGAATATAGCAAGGGCAGCTAACATGTTTTGAGGACTTATGTGCCAGACGGTGTTAAACACTTATACATGTTAATGTCCTCAATCCTCATAACAACCCTGTCAGGTAGAGAGAACTGTTATACTAGTCATCTCCCTCTCACAGAACCTGAAAGTGAGTCCCAGGGTGGTTCATTAATTTACTGAAGATTACACAGCCAGTAGAAAGTACTGTATGTCTATAGCTGCCTACCCACAAGGGCACAGAAAGAAATTCATATGCATTTTGCATTCCTATTCCATGATCAGTTCCTACTTGTCTTATTTTATTTATCTAACTTTTAAATTTTACTTTTTATTTAGTTATTTTTTGAGACAGGGTCTCATTCTGTCACCCAGGCTGGAATGCAGTGGCACAATCACAGCTCACTGCAGCCTTGACCTTCTGGGCTCAAGCGATCCTCCCACCTCAGCCTCCCAAGTAGCTGGGACCAGAGACGCACACCACCACGCCCAGCAAATTTTTTGAATTTTGTAGAGGTGAGGTCTATTCTTGGGCTCAAATGATCCTCCTGCCTCGGCCTCCTAAAGTGCTAGGATTACAGGTGTGAGCCACCTGATTTGTTTTTTTGTTTTTGTTTTTTGTGACGGAGTTTCGCTCTTGTTGCCCAGGCTGGAGTGCAATGGTGCGATCTTGGCTCTCCTCAACCTCCGCCTCCTGGGTTCAAGTGATTCTCCTGTCTCAGCCTCCCTAGTAGCTGGGATTACAGTCATGCGCCACTATACCTGGCTAATTTTGTATTTTTAGTAGAGACAGGGTTTCTCCATGTTGATCAGGCTGGTCTTGAACTCCCAACCTCAGGTGATCCGCTTGCCTTGGCCTCCCAAAGTGCTGGGACTACAGGCATGAGCCACCGCGCCTGGCTGAGCCACCTAATTTTTTTTTAGAGACAGTGTCTGGCTGTTGCCCAGGCTGGAGTGCAGTGGCACAAGGCTCACTGAAACCTTGAACTCTGAAGCTTAAGCAATCCTTCCAGATCAGCTTCCCGACTAGTTAGGACTAAGGCATGTGCCACCATGCCCAGCTAATTTATATATATATATGTATTTCGTAGAGCCGGTCTCACTGTGTTGCCCAGGCTAGTGTTGAACTTCCAGGCACATGCAGTCCTCCTGTCTTGGCCTCCCAAAGTACTGAGATTACTGGCATGAGCCTCTGTACCCAACCTTGTCTTAATTTGTAATGAGTTTAAATTACCTATTGGTTAATACTGTCTTTATCCCCATAGATTTCTGAATAAAATGGAAACTACCACAGTGGTTCAGTGGTTTCACAGGTCCTTTAGGTTTGATCCCAGTGGAAGATGATTCCACTTCTCTGTCCTTCCAGAAGACCTGGTTTATAACAGTGCATAAGGTTTTGCCGCAAAATACGGTTATATACCGCACAAGGAAGAGGTGTGGCTGTTTTGTCACAGGAGACCTAGGGGCCAGGTTTGGGAAAAGTGATTCCATGTCTTCAGTTGATCAACAAGTATTCAAGTGCTGGCTGTGGTTTCTGAGCTGTAAGGAATCATGAAAGATACCATAGAATGTTATGGCTTCATGGAGCTTGAGATGAGAAACTCTAGTACCAGTATAGAACAGCTTAAAATTGCACAGGGCAACAAGTGAAAGTCAGCAGTGAGGGTAGCCTGGTAAAGTCTGGCTTACCAGGAAGACCACACCAAAGAGGTAGCTCTTGACATGGACCTTGGAGGACAAAAAGAGCTGGGCAGGCTGAAGGTCAGTGGTCTGAAGATAAAATTATCCCTTGATTCTCACCCCTGTGTTCCCCTTATTGAATGTTAGCTCCATGAGGCAGGGACCTTCGTTTCATTCCCACTGAATTCTTTGCACCTAGAACAGTGCCTGGCACATAGTGCTCATTAAATATTTGTGGAATTCCTGAGTGATCCAGTGATCTTGGGCTGGACAGGATACTAATTGTCCTGGACATGGTTTGGAGTTGGATTAGATCAAGGATAGCCAGCCTGGATGCTTCTAGGAGCTGTAGTCAGGTGAGGAAGGGGAGAGGCAGGGTGAGTACATTTACTTCCTTTGTATGTGTATGGTGGGGATAAGGGGTAGATGCAACCTAGGGAGCTTCCAGGAGGTGCAGGCAGGCAAGGATCCATTCCTCAATGTCTGCTGTGTTCCAGTCCATTGGTACCCTTCAAGGATATGGGCTCAGGGAGGCCACATTCATTCACTCATTCAATACATCTCTTGAGTGGCTTCTAAGTATTCCTGTGATGGACAAAGGATAACTTGAGCAAGACAGATGATGTGTCGTCTCTCTTAGGAAGCTTACATTCTTGATGGAGGAAATACAAGTTGAGTAAAATAAATGAACAGTTTTGGCAGGGCACTGTGAAAAAAATAAAATTGGACCATATTATAGAGTGTGACTGGGCTAGCCTACTTAGATTCGGAAGTCCAGGGAGGCTTCTTGGAAGAGAGGTATCAGTGTCTCTTTTTCAAGAGATGCCCAAGTCTGGATTTTTATTCGAAATATCCAGATTTTTGGCTGGGCACAGTGGCTCACACCTGTAATCCCAGAACTTTGGGAGGCTGAGGTGTGTGGATCATGAGGTCAGGGGTTCAAGACCAACCTGGCCAATATGGTGAAACCTCATCTCTACTAAAAATACAAAAATTAGCCGGGCGTGGTGGTGCATGCCTATAGTCCCAGCTACTCGGGAGGCAGAGACAGGAGAATCACTTGAACCTAGGAGGCAGAGGTTGCAGTAAGCTGAGATCATGCCACTGCACTCCAGCCTAGGCAACAGAATGAGACTCCATCTTAAAAAAAAATGCTGGACACGGTGGCTCATGCCTGTAATCCCAGCACTTTGGGAGGCTGAGGTGGGTAGATCGCCCGAGGTTGGGAGTTTAAGACCAGCCTGACCAACATGGAGAAACCCTATCTCTGCTAAAAATACAAAATTAGCCGGGTGTGGTGGCTCATGCCTGTAATCCCAGCTACTTGGGAGGCTGAGGCAGGAGAATTGCTTGAACCCGGGAGGCGGAGTTTGCAGTGAGCTGAGATCGCGCCATTGCATTCCAGCCTGGGCAACAAGAGCGAGACTCTGTCTCCAAAAAATAAATAAATAAACCCCAGATGTTTGTATGTTGGCTCAATTTTAGAAAAAAACATACTATAGGCACCCAATAAAGCATGTGTGCTAGTTGATCTCTGGTGTCTTGTCTACTGCAGAATGTTGTATTGTCCCAGGCCCCCAGGTTTCCCATAATATAATAAGTCTACCATTTCATTTTGTGTTATATATCTCTAGTTTGAGAAAGGGCCTCATGCACTGTTACACAACAGATCTTCTGGAAGGGCAGCGAGGTGGGATCCTCTTCCACTGGGATCAGGAAAGGCACAGTCATGGAGGTGACCTTTTTGCTGGGTCCAAATAGATGGGTGGCAGGAGCAACCTGACAAGTATGTGGGAGGAGTTAGAACAAGCTGCCTTTAGAAATAAAAGATTACTAGAGATTTCTTGGAATATAGTGTGTGTGAGCAAACAGTAGAAGATGAGGTCTGAGAGGTGAGGTGGAGCTAAATTGTACTGTAGATGCAAGGTGTTTTATGGAATATAGGGAGGAATTGTTGAAGATTTTCAAGTAGGGGGTGACACACGAATCATGGGTTTTAAGAAAATTGAACTGTGGGCTGGGTGCAGTGGCTCACGTCTGTAATCCCAGCATTTTGGGAGGCTGAGGAGGGTGGATTACCTGAGGTCAGGAGTTTGAGACCAGACTGGCCAACATGGTGAAACCTCATCTCTACTAAATAATAAAAAAATTAGCTGGACATGGTGGTGGGCACCTGTAATCCCAGCTACGTGGGAAGCTGAGGCAGGAGAATCGCAATGAGCCCAGATTGCGCCACTGCACTCCAGCCTAGGCGACAGAGCAAGACCTTGTCTCAAAAAAATGAAAAGAATATTGAACGGTGGTGATAGGCAGGGAAGACTGGAGGCAGGGAGGCTAATTAGGAAACTGTAGCCATCCAGGTGTGAGGTGTTGAAGGGTGACAAATTTGGGTGGGAAGTGGCCCTCTTTCAAGTGCCTTTCCATGGCACTGACTTGGGTCTCTGCTTGCTTCTCCCTGCAGACACCCAGTTTGACAGAGTACCCTGCAGTACCTGGCACTGAATAGGTGCTCTGTAAAGGT